GCTTGGCCAGTCCAGTTTGCTGCGTGGCCGGGGAAGCAAGTGGCGGGGTTGTACTGACCCAGCCAGCACCCGGGCCCATCAGCAAACTGCCACACGGTGCACGTGGGGCGATCGCAACATGCCCGCCTGCACTCCTGCGGCGTCGACGCGTTGTTCATCTTCGAGAGCCCGCGGCACTGGACATCTGCAGTGATGGGCAGATTGCAGGGGCAGGTCACGTTGGCGGGGACGGGGACAGACCAGATGACCTCCACACCGCGATCTGCAGAGCGGTTGCCGGCGACGCTCACGCCGTCCACCAGCAGCTCCGTCGTGTTGGAGCTGGAGATGGTGCTCACGTTCACCCGATGGCCGCTGGTGCCCGCAGCCGGCAGCAGCCGTGGCGCCTGGTCTTGGTCTTCTCGGTCTTGTTGCTGTTGTGCTTCTGCTTGTTTCGACGACGCCGACGACGCCGACGACGGGACGAGGGAGTCGAGTAGTGTGATGACGCGGGAAACGGCGAGTGGGGGTAGGGCTGGACGGGCCGGGTCGCTGCTGTCTACGAGCGCCAGCCAGTTGATGCGGTACCACCACGCATGCGGCTTTGGAAACCCGGCAAGGTCAAACTGGCCAAACGCGGAGGAGACGGCCGGCCAGGACGAAGGCGGCTCGCCATAGTAGTCGAGCAGCGTCCTGGCGGTTGGAAAGAAGAGCGAGGTAGAGAGAGAGGGGGGGGGGGAGGAGAGGGGGCGGGATGGAGAGGGAACGTTGGTTAGGCATGCTCCCATTGAGAAGCAATTGGAAGGAAGATACAGAAGAGGCGGAGTCATTCCGAACCGCATGCGCGCTCGCACACACAGAGACATGGGTTGACGTAAACAGAGACAGGCAGACGTAGACAGACAGAGACAGAGACAGAGACAGACACAATCACACAGACAGACAAACAGACAGACACAGACAGACAGACACAGAGACAGGCACAGAGACGGCCTGAGACGGACAGAGACAGACACAGACATACAGACACACAGACAGACACACACATAAGTGTGCATATCAACCATACCACACGCCGAGGGAGCCTGCGACAAACGGGAGGAGGCCTGGGCTGTTCTGGTCGCAGATGCATTCCGGGATGTGGCGGGCACTGCCGACGCGCTGGGACGTGCACGAGCAGCACTCTGACAACACTACAAATCGACAGGCGCGGATGCAGTGGCGGTGGATGAGGAACCAATAAGAGAAGGGGGGGGGGCGAGAATGATGCCATCACCTTCAAAAACACGAACACGATCCACGAGCATATCAGCGTGACACCGCTATCTATTGTCATCAACACCGCTCCCTGGCTCAATCCATTGACATGCATTACCGGAGGGCGTGTTGGGGTTGTTCTTGTGGAAGTGTTCAAACACGGACGCCTTGCGGTGGCTGAATCCCTGCACATCGAGCGATCCCGTCGGGCCGTTCGCTCCCACCGCTCGTGTCGGATCCAGCGCCTGCAGCAGTGGAGGAAGGAGGAGTGGAGGGGCGGTTTGGGAGGTGTGTGATTGTGTGTGTGCGCGTGCGTGCGTGTGTGTGCGTGTGTATGCGTGTGCGTGCGTGTGCGTGTGTGCATGTATGTGTGGTGTTGGTCAGTAAGGTTGGGTGACTTGGTGCAACACCACACGTCACGAGAGGAGCCACACTTTGCTGTGTTGAGGAGTGTTGAAGCACTCACCTTTGCAGCGGCGCGGAAGAGCACGCTGGTGATGTTCGTCTGCTGCTGGCACTCATATCTGCGGACAAGCACATCAACACAAGCCCAAACGCATGTGAACAGGGTCACAGCGGAAGCAACATGAGGGAGGGGGGTGGCACAGATGAGGCGAGCGCATCATACCCACCGACATAGGCGGACGGCAACACAACACCTAATGCTATTACAGGCACAGAATCCAGAACACACAGACATGAACGCACAACCACATGCATACGCAGACACAGACACACACAGACACGCACGCATACACAAGCACCCACTCGTTGCAGAAGCTCCAGATGACGATGGATGGATGGTTGCGATCGCGCTTCACCATGTCATGCATGTCAGACACGTATTCGGGCCTGCAGCGGCGGGCATTCGTGCGCAACAAACACAAAGAAACAGACGCGCGTGAGGTGTGGCGCATGCGGAGAAAGGGGCATGAATTGTCATGTTGCAGCTCACGGCTCAAGCAACGCACCCGCCCCGGGGACCCGCACACAACAACATCAACAACAACAACAACAACAACAACAACAACAACAACAACAACAACAACAACAACAACAACTTAAACAACAACAACAACAACAACAACAACAACAACAACAACTAACAACAACAACTTAACAACAACAACAACAACAACAACAACAACAACAACAACAACAACAACAACACACACTTACACAACAACACAACACACTTACACAACACACTTACTTCAACAACAACACCATGTCAGTCCATCCTCCCCCCCCCCCCCCCCCAAAA